CTGCCGCGCTGAGCCGACAAACAGCTGATCAGCTGTTTGTCGGCTCAGCGCGGCAGCCATGTAAATTTAAATGAAGCGGCGATTATTTAAATCGCCGCTTCATTTTCCTATGTCTGGTAGCCTAATCTACATGCCTCTGGCGACAGAGGCATGTAGTCTAGACGTACCCTAATAATTAGGAATACCTTATATCCAAATGGATGCTGTATTAATCTCTTACAAGGAAACTAACTAGCCCAACCTCCTATCCCTATAGAATTAGCTGGTCAGTTTGCAGGAAAATATGAAAGATCTTTCTCGTTTGTTTACCCTGGAGAATTTTTTTTTTCTAAACATTCGTTGCCAGGCCAATTTATATACTGGACATAACTATTTAACAACCTTATTTAGAAGGGAGGGATAGCTCAGTGGTTTGAGCATTAGCCTGCTAAATGCAGCATTGTGAGTTCAGTCTTTGAAGGGGGCCATTTAGGGATCTGGGGCAAATTGGTCAGGGATGGTACTTGGTCCTGCTATGAGGGCAGGGGACTGCATTTGATGACCTTTCAAGATCCTGTCCAGCTCTATGAGATAGGTATCTCTCTCTCTAGATAGACGTAAACTGTAGTGTGTTTGTTAAGATTCCTATATAAGCCAGTTCTAACATAGCTTTATTTCTAGTACATGTGATCAGTACTCGGGATAGATTTGGGTGGGCTTGAAATTCTGGCGATATGGTGTTTTAGCAAACTTTGCTCAGTAAAGGGAGATGTTCCTTAAAGTACATCTTAATGTGATGTGAGATTTCTACCATGTATTATTTGTGTGCATGAGTGTGGTGGACAGTTTTAGTAGCTAGGGACAGTAAATGTATTCTGCCTTCACAATAAGTGTGGCATATTGCCTTATCCCCCTAACAAGATTCTGCTAGTTCTGTTTCTACAAGTCTAACATTTGAAGGCACAGACACTCATTACCATGCTAAGTGCTGTACATACAAAAAGATGCCAAATAGGAGTGTCAGATTATAACAGTCTCACACAAAAAGGCAGCAGTAGTGCTAGCTACCCACTGTGCTCTGCAGATCCTGGCACAGAGGTGCCATTTTTGAGGGTGAAAGAGTTAATTCAGTTTCCATTCCTACTCAGCGTGTAGTCTCTCTTCTGAGACTGTGAGTAAGACATCTATTATGGTAGATTTGTTTTCTTTCCATGCTAGGAACTAGACAGACTGTAAACTCACTTCACATATAAGTCAACAAACAGTAATCATCTGATGGTGACTTAGTGACAGTAACCTATCGATGAAGAGGTCTCTGTATGTTACCAATGCCTTGAGTAAACAAGTCCACCACAAGTGGAGGGAAGCTTCCTTGCCTGTCTTGTGAGGAAGTCACCACTACTATAAGTAATACATATTGGCTGTGTCTAGACTGGCCAGTTTTTCCGGAAAAGCGGCTGATTTTCCGGAAAAACTGGCCAGTCTAGACACAGCCCTGGGGTGCATCTAGACTGGCATGATTTTCTGGAAATGCTTTTAACAGAAAAGTTTTCCGTTAAAAGCATTTTCAGAACAGAGCGTCTAGATTGGCACGGACGCTTTTCCGGAAAAGCGGCTGATTTTCCGGAAAAACTGGCCAGTCTAGACACAGCCCTGGGGTGCATCTAGACTGGCATGATTTTCTGGAAATGCTTTTAACAGAAAAGTTTTCCGTTAAAAGCATTTTCAGAACAGAGCGTCTAGATTGGCACGGACGCTTTTCCGGAAAAGCGGCTGATTTTCCGGAAAAACTGGCCAGTCTAGACACAGCCCTGGGGTGCATCTAGACTGGCATGATTTTCTGGAAATGCTTTTAACAGAAAAGTTTTCCGTTAAAAGCATTTTCAGAACAGAGCGTCTAGATTGGCACGGACGCTTTTCCGGAAAAGCGGCTGATTTTCCGGAAAAACTGGCCAGTCTAGACACAGCCCTGGGGTGCATCTAGACTGGCATGATTTTCTGGAAATGCTTTTAACAGAAAAGTTTTCCGTTAAAAGCATTTTCAGAACAGAGCGTCTAGATTGGCACGGACGCTTTTCCGGAAAAGCGGCTGATTTTCCGGAAAAACTGGCCAGTCTAGACACAGCCCTGGGGTGCATCTAGACTGGCATGATTTTGCGCCAAAGCGGCCGCTTTTGCGCAAAATCATGCCAGTCTAGACGTAGTCACAATGTATACAAGAACAATTGGCACAATTTTTTAATTTTCACTTTCACTGAGGTGAACTGAATTCTTCAAAAAGTCTGAGGTTTTTCTGCACCTTACTCCTGCCACTCCAATGACTGCTAACTTACTGATTATTCCTGTCTTACAAACAGGTTTTCTAGGTCTTGTCACATACAGTAAATGCTTGCCAAATGCAACCTGGGGAATCTTCTTTGTGCCTTGTAGCCACAGAACTTCAGTGTCATTTTCAGTTCAGCATCATAAACTATTGCAGTTTTTCATACCGCTGTTCTCTTGTGGCCCTTTTGATATCTTTCTGCTGTTTATATACCTCATACAATGTTTCATTTACTGTAAATGATTGCATAACCCAGTTGGGAATGGACTAAGAAATGGAAATCTGCCAAATGTGTTTCTCAGAGACCAAAATAGCACTTAAAGGAAACAGTTTACCAAAAATTTACCGCAGATTACAAATAAGAGACCTTGAGATTTACCACTTCTTTCATTAGGCTTGACTATAGGTTTGGAGGGGATGACTGACTATTTTATAAACATCAAGTTCTTAAAAAGCAAACAAGGCATTTGCTTCTTTACTGTTGTGGATTCTACATTTCTGCATACTGCTAACCACAGCTATTCCATTTGAGAAAAACAAAATTTTTGATCATTTTTATTAATTTAAAATGTAGAATGGAAGATACTTGGCTTTCCATGAAATAGTTTCTGAAAAAAAGATGAAAGGTACTGCTCCAATCTCATTTTTGTATACCTGCACTTTCAATATTAAAGAATTTTTTTCCATGTGTTCACCAATGATCAGCTTGTGTGCCTTGTTTGCAAGAAATTAAACTAGTGTCCTACCCATAGAGACCCATGTTTCAACATGCTAAATTATTCCGAATAAGTATTTCATGCAACAGATACAGTTATAGACTACTAGCAACTCAAAATTTCGGAACACCTTTAACTTTACTTTTCATGTGCCAGCTCTAAGGCATCGTCTCCGCTGCTGGGTTTTTACACAAGAAGCCTTTTTCAGAAGAGATCTTCCACAAAAACTTCTTATGCAAAAGCACATCCAGTCCTCAAAGCGCATCGCAAAAGCGATATGCTTTTGTGCAAGAGAGCGTCCACACTGAATGAAGACACTTGCGCAAGCGCACCTGTGCTTTTGCCAATAGGGGTTTCTTGAGCAAAAACCTCTCCAGAGCATCCAAACCTGCCTTCTTGCACAAGAGCTGTAGCACAAAGCAGTTATTCCTCCTGGGAAGAAGAATAACTCTACTGGCAAAAGCCCTCTGTTCTACCTTGTAGTGTAGAGGTAGCCTAAGGGTATTCGATAATTTCCCCATGACAAGCTATGTCTATCTAGACTGTGGAGCTATTTCGGGATACCAGAAGTATCCCAAAATAGCTATTTCGTGTCTTTAAAAGCAGCTGGTTATTTTGAAATACTGAGCGTGCTATTCCAGCCACCCTAGAACCCTGGTTCCACAAGGGTTAAGGGAGATTTTGGAATAGTGCTTTATTTCAAAATTTGGAACTGTGTAGACAGCACCAAACTTTGAAATAAGCTATTTCAAATTTCTCAAAATAAGCTATGCAAATTGCATAGCTTATTTTGAGGTAAGGGTACAGTATAGAACACCCATATAGAATCATCTTAAGCACTGAGAAAATAGTCAACTGTTTGGGAATTCATTGCAACTTTAAAGAAGTTGATCAACTAATGACTTGGGACTTTTTGTAGGATTTGAGGACACACCCACAACCTAATTTCTTCTCCTATTAGTTTCAGCTGAAGGGCTGGTTAAGCATGATATTAAATTTTCATTCCTTTTATTTGTGGAATTACAGTTAGAGAAGAGGGACAAACATGACCACTGGAAAAAAAAGAGTCTTTCAAGCAATTCCTGCTCCTCAAGTGTGGGTGGATTGAAGAATTCATTCAGGATGAAATCCTGACCCTAGTAATGTCAATGACAAAACTCCCATTGACTTGAAAAGACTCAGGAATTCTCTCTCATTGTTCTATCATTATCCTGAAACATTAAGAGGAAGCTTGGAAACTCAACCTTCCCTTGCGGAGTGGGAGTTTTTCCTTCAGAGGCCACTATAAATATATCCTTTAGGGTGCATCTACACAGCACCTAGAATTCTAAAGAAGATACACAATTTGCACTATGCAAAGTAAGTCTCTTATTTAGAAATTTGGTGCATCTATACAGCGCCAGATTTCAGAATCATGCATTATTTGACATCTCTTAACCCTCATGGAACAAGGTTTACAGGGATGCTGAAATAGCACGCCTGTTATTTAGAAAAATATTTCAAATTAACGGGCATGTTTAGAAGACACGGGGTAGCTATTTCAGGATATATTTTAGCTCAACTTAAAACCAAAAAAGAATACAGAGGTAGAACCCTACCTGCTAACCTGAATTCAAAGTGAGCTGTTATGTCTCCACAGCTGTTTTAACTCCATTTAGCTGATACTGGTTAGCTAAGCTAGGAACATATCTTTCTTTGTAGAGTAGAAAACCTTGAATGTTTAGAAGTTTCTTTAACGTGTATTCAGTTAAGAGGGACAATAAGGAGAACGTTACAATTATTTGCACCACGTTACTTTCCTTCTTCCCCTCTGTACAATTCTAAATAGCAGCATACGAAAATAGCATAACTTACATGAGAGATAACTGGATATGATAATTTCATTCAGAATTCATGACAATTCCAATTTATACATGACATACTGTTTGTTACAGTAATGTCAGGAAAAACATACACAAACAGTGAACTGGCCACACAGAGCATTTACACTAAGACTTGGTTATTTTTATTCAAAGAAAAAAAGATATTTTAATAAATACTGCAGAAACAAACATACAAAGTGACTTCAACATTAAAAAAAGAGAAAGTAATGAATATCCTGTTTTATAACAGTTATAACTTACTTTCTTTTTTACAAATACTTAAATACAGAAAGCACTTGCCAGCTATTTTGTAATACTGCCCTAAGCATATTGTTGTGTCAATCAAACGCATAGTATGGTGGTCAAATGCCTGGGAGGTTTTGTGGGAAATGACTGGAATTTTATTTTTTTCCCCAGATACAAAGCAAAGTGCTGGTACCACATAGAACTGAGTATTTTAATTTCCACCATCCTCTATCCTGCCACAGCTTAATGCAAACACCACTTTAATACTTCAAAAATGAAGCATCATCACTGGAAAGGAATGCTTGTTTTTCAACAAGCTAGAGCAACACTGGTCAGAGCATCCTTTTTTTAAAAAAGCCATGACAATAATTGGTCAGTAAACATCTGCAACCTATTTTAAAGGCTGATTGATTTGTTTCATGTAACTGTAGTAATCAGCAAGTGAAAAAGTTTGACTAAAGCCAGTTCACTGAAGTAATGTTTAATGACCACTGTCTGGATATGCACATATTAGTCCTTTAGGAGTAAAACAGTATCCAGTTTCCACTAAGGGCCCTTAAGGCTCCATTTCCTTACAGCACTCATTATAAGAAAATAAGGATCGGTAATAAGAGACAGTCACCAAATGCAGCCCTGGTAGAATGCATCGTATACAAGATGAACTTGGCTATGTTGGCTCATGTGTATACTGTTATTTTTGCGTAAAACATAGTTACAGAGAACCATACCAAAAAAATAGCACTTCTCCATTACACAGCAATAGGGCATGGGAAAAATATGAGTTCCTCTGCTCCAGAAGACTAGGAGATGAGGGTTCACAAAACCTAAACAGGGTTGGGCACTAAGGCTGTAAGAATCATGTTTTAAACTGAGAATAATTTGTAATCATAATAGCACCATTCATCTGCTTTTGCAGTTCAACCTACGACGACATATCCCAACAGTACATCATATTTTTCCACAGAAGATGTAAAAACAAAGTTTAAAAGCATTACTTTTAAGTACAATCACAATGACGAACAGAAATAAATCAATATTTTGAAAAGTTCAGTAACAAGCAGGTTTGTTTTTTTTTTAAACTTGATCTGTCTAGTTTTATTGTGCTAGGGCACATATAATAATAGGAAGTCTCAAAAGATTCTCGTCATTAACATGTTCCAATTTAGCTTGTGAAGCCAACTCAGGAAGGCATAATTTCCAAGGTTTTCATATACAATGTTTTCCTCCGGATGACCCATGGGTCTTGATATAATTTCCATTTTAATGATGAGCTACAAGGAAATTAGATCATATCCTTTGGAAAAACTAACTGTAAGGTCATGGGCTAGGTCTCCAATGATGTGAATGTTGTTAACATATTTAATTTTTAAAAAGAACATTAAAATATTATTTTAATTAAATCAAAGTAGGTATCCAGGAATAGATCTTTAAGAAAACAAACAAGCACTGTCAAGGTCATCATCTTTCTCTGAGGTGCTACTTTTCCTCCTCTTCTCTAGCACATTCAAATATTTTCCTTTTTTGGCATTTCTTCCTTGTAACATTTGACAGCCATCCCATTCAGATCCATCTCTTCCCACTGCTTAGTCTACATGCTGAATCCCTAAATACAATCTCACACAAAAGGTGAAGAGCATCCTTTAAAAGTATTGACATAAGCCCACACATTATATACCACTTTGGCTGTGTACTTCATTGAGTCTTCACCTTTCCAGATCATTGTCTCTTCCTTCTTCCTAGTAAAACCTAGATCCTTCACATGACTGTGCAACTCTTCGCTTTGTCCTTTCGCAAATCTGTAGCGACTGTAGATAGTTCTGGCCGGCCAGGCATGTGTGAAATTCGCTTTGTTGCCCTCTGTGATTTGTTCCGCTTAACATTTTTGTTTGTTTTGTTGACACATGCCAATGTGGCAACATGAAATATGTCTCTTACGCTGTTTTCTGACTGTAAGGCTGAGCATTCAATGTAAGTAGCTGCTCCAATCTGTTTCGCCATATTCGCACCCTGGGGGAGAAAGGGGAGAGAAAGAAATGCCAATCAATAGGAAGCTTTTGTACAAAGCCAAATCACACCATACAGTTATTTTTCAGCAATGTTTGCATACAGAATCTTGTGTGAAAATTAAGATAGCAAAGTGACTCACAGCAACTCCTTTGGCTTTTTTAAGAACAGGGATATTCACTCAAAACGTATTATACAAATACCTAAGAATTGTTTCCTGTGAGGAAACACAATTTGAAAGCTATGCATAATAAGAACAATGGCCTCTATATACCTGTAAACAAAAACGTTCTGGATTTTGCTATTCCACAAATTTGCATTTTTTGGTTTGGGAGACTCTTGTATTCATCCTGAAAAGTACTGGACTGAGTACCTGAAAAATCAGATCCCCAACATGTGCACAGAAAAGTCATTTGTTGTTCAACAGTAACTCCTCTTTACAGCCCTGTCAAATGATATACACCCACATCAACAGGTGGGGGAATGTGATGGGCCCAGCAGTGAAAGGGGGACAATCCCAGGAGTAAGGGAGGAAGACACTCGCTAAGAGACAATACATAGCTCCCCCCAGTCTCTGGCCTCTTCTTGGTCAGCTAGAGAGGGATGCTGACTGGCCAGCATTCCCCTACTTCCAGGACTCAAGTTGGTGCAGGGGCCCCTTGAAGCCTCTCTGGACTCTGTTTCAGCAGTGGATTAAGTAGAGACATTCTTAGAACCTAACTGAAGTACTGGAATGGAATTGTTTATTCATTGCAACTTTCAGCCAGTTTCCAGTGCAGGAAAGAGAATAAAAGGAATGGTTCCCAAAGGTAAGAGACCTGGGATTTTGCTGATGGGCCTTAATGATAGAGGGAGACCATGTGGCCCACAAGGGCTGAGGACTTTACCCTGCTGCTGTTGTAGTGGGGAGAACTCAAAGAGAACTGAGTCCTGGGTGGCAGGCTGAGGAAAGTCTACCCTATGTTCTAGCTTATATGCTAAGATTAATGTTTCTTCTAATTTTTACCATCTATGTACAGAATAAATTTTGTTATGTGCACTGAGGCATGTGCACTACCAGTAGAAACACATGATGCCAGCTGCGGGCATTCTGCAAATCAGCTGGGCAGCATCTGAATCTCTTGGGTGGCCACCCAAGTGCTCAGCTTACAGTGAACACTGATAAGGAGTCTTGTAACCTCTGCATTGAAACCAATTACATGTCTGCATAGGAGTATGGGTCGTGGGAAGATAGTGCACCTTTCCTGCAAGTTGCAGTCTGCCACTTAATTCAAGACATGTGTCTGTCTTCATTTTGCCTCTGTCCACATCAATGTGATTTTGTCCTGGAGAAGTCTCCTTTTAATCTGGAGAAAGCCACTCAGTTTCTAGCTTCGCCTCCCAGTTTAGAGTCATTTGAGGTGATGGCAGCATTGTGAGATGCACAATGTTTCATTAGCAAGTTGGCCCCCCACTACCAACCTTTTCAGGTAACCTATCAAACAATCATTGTCTAGTATAAATAGTTTCAACATTTGTTCTCAGGCAAGGTGCGTAGGATCCAAATGAATGAACTGCATATTCTGTTACCCAAAACACTGTGCTTAACATGCTGACACTATACCATTAGAATGCTTTATTTACAGTCTTTTGTAAGTCCTCAGTGACTGAGCAACAGACATGCACTTTCCTCAGGTAAATGGCTACATAATCAGAAGCAGTATGGCTAACACACACATTCCCATACTCTTTCAGCTATGTATTAAAAGAACTGTTAACTGAAAACATCCTCAGCAATGAGAATTAAGATTTAATTCAGAATAATAATGATAAACTACATGGATCATGCAAGTGTTTCCTAATCCCCCATGAATGTGTTACATACCCCAGTTACACAGTAACAAAACCAAGACAGGCCTGTTTTACACTGGCCAGATACTTAGATTCACACTGCTGATCTCAGGTCTCATGTTGCATCCTCATGACATATTTTAGAGTCCAAGCATGTTGGAAGGGCAGAACATTGGCATTAAGAATGTGTATGCATTAAGAAAAGAATCTTGGCCAAAATTTACAAGAAAATGTTCCTCGATCATTTTAAACACAAAAGTGATCTAAAAGAAAAGTTGAGTATTTTTATTGTAATAATTTAAGCTTGACAGACTTTATTTTTATATTTTAAAGATTAAGACTCAAAGCACTTTTTAAATTAAGAAAATGTGAGATAGGAAGATTCAAGGTGCTTTTGTATATCACAGCACTTCATCTAGACTGCAGGCTTCTTTCGGAACAAGCTTTTGCAGAAGAGATCTGCCGAAAAAAATTCTTGTGAACGAGTGTCCATGCTGCCAAAGCACATTGAAAAAATGATCTGCTTTTTCAAAAGGTAGCATGCACACTGAATGGACGCTATCTCGCATTTAAGCTGTGACTAGTATGGACAGACTGGCCATAAGGGCACCTGTGCTTTTTCCTCTTTTGAAAGAACTCCTTCTTCCCCATCCACAAATGCCTTTTTCAAAAAGAGTTTTCGGAAAAAGGCTTCTTCCTTGTAGAAAGGGATTTATCAATGTCAATTTTTTTTTTAAAGAACACGATTGTAGTGTGGACGTAAGTGAAGTTTTTTAGAAAAATGGCTGTTTTTCTGAAAAAAAACTCTGTAGTGTATAATAGCCTTAGTGTAACAAACAGGTATTGAGTGGAAAAAATGAGTCACCATTTTACTATACAGGCAGTCCCCGAGTTACGCGGATCCGACTTATGTCGGATCTGCAGTTACGAACGGGGCTTTTCCCGCCCTGGAGGACGGGAGCAGCGGGACGCCCAGATGCGCCGCGGTCCGCCACCCCCATCCTCCAGGGCGAGAATAGCTGCTCCCAGTCTCCCTGGTCTGCAGGGAGACGGGGAGCAAAGCCTTGGAGCACGCCCACAGCGGGACAGCCCGGGCGCGCTTAAGCTATCCCCCTGCGGGCGTGCTCCGTGGCTTTGCTCCCCGTCTCCCGACCAGCAGACCAGGGAGATGGGGAGCAAAGCCTCGGAGGACGCCGGCAGTGGAACAGCCGCGGCGCGTCTGGGCTGTCCGCTGCCCGCGTGCTCCGCGGCTTTGCTCCCCCACC